ATAAATGTAACTGAGAAGTTACAATTCATAGACCCAACGTAGAATAAATAGCGTCTGTTCGTTGTTCTTTCGAGACAGGATCCCAAGGTTTGGTAGAAATATGTCTTAAAGTCTGGAAAGGTTTTTGAGCAACTTTAACGTTGTGGCTATCCAAAATCTTCTTGATGGGTTCCGTAACACCCTGAATGTAAGGAATAACAGCAAAACCAGTCGCTGGTTCCTTCTCATCAGGAGTGTTACTAGATGTAACTGGTTTCTGGAAGTTAAGGAAAAATGTTTTGGTATAGTTCAAGTCGCGGAGGACAGACTCAAAGGAGACGCGTCCCTAGGACAAAGAACTTCTTTATCTGTGCAGGATATAATTTATCTGCTGTCCTTTGCCTCAAAACCACACAATTCGCATACAACAGCACCTACTATCAACAGGTTTTTGGTCCAGCTATGGACTTTCCCGTCTTTGCTGTCATTGCCCATATGGTAATGGAAGACGTGGAACAAAGGGCTTTAGCCACTTCACCGGTTAAAGGCCTATTTCCAACCTTGATGCAACGCGCGCCGCGACCCAATTTCCTGTAACACGAAATTCCCAGATCACTGAAAACCTTCTAAAATCGTCTTTCTCAAGAGCCATCCTGGACATATAGTCAACTGTTTTACGGTAAATACATTCGCCGTTCGTCATTTTACAGTTTCCTAACGGTATTTTGAATGTTGTCTAAAAGAATCCGAGGAAAATTTTTTTAAAGGTTATGCTTAGATCTCTTAGTACGTACTCTGTGAACAGAGTCGACGAAAAGGACAACGTTTAGAAGCGCTTGAGGATTGTAAATGAAGGTAGGATATTTTCCAACGAAAAATTGATATATTTCAGAGAGAAATATGGAGTTAGTTGAGGACCGTGTCCAGCCGTGTCATTGAACAGTTTTTAAGTGTCAAGGGTTTGGATGGCTTCGTACTCTGTATACAGATTTAGCGAAAAACATCAAGTTTGAAATTTTAGGCTGCCTGGAAGCGCTTGAGGATTGTAAATAAAGGTAGAAACTTTTCGTGTAAATATTTTTTGGATTTCGAAGAGAAATATGGAAAAATATCGGACTACCAGACGTTTAATTATTTTAAGTTTAGTCACTTCATTGCAGGAACGTCAGCGACACTGACAGTTTGCGTTACAATTTTTATTTGCTGCTTTGCATGGACAACAACCTCGACCACTCTTTCGAGCGCAAGCTCCTCTCCACGGGCAGGAAACTTCGACTGGCCCTTGGTCCTATTTAACAAGGATGGCAAATTTGATGAATGGATGAAAACGTGGTGGATCAACATTTTCACCTTCTTCTAAATACTCGCAAGGATTTTCGTATTCCTCTTTAGCAACAACCGATCGATAAGCGTTTACTACTAATCAATGGATTCATCTGCTTTCATGCCGGGTTAAAACATAGAACCGTTTTAAACAGAATTAAATTAAACAAGCTCTTCAAATTCATGGGAGAAAACGCAGAAGATGTTTTGAGACAACGTGACAAGGTAAAAATAACTGACCAATCAGTGGTGCTATTTAAACAAAAGCGGTCGTTCAAAACAAAAACAAACGACCGCGTTGTATCAGGGTTGGAAATGGGCCTTTAAACCCTTGTTCTGGGAACGATATGTCAAAGATGTCATTTCAGCAGTATCCGGAAATAAAGCGGAACTCCTCCTATCGCATTTGAATTCAGTGGAGTCGTCTAGGCTAGCGATAAAACCCGAATAACGACCGATTACTGCGAATAGTCGCGAATAGTAAGTGACTTAGTCAAGTTCCCTTATTTGATATTTCGCGTTACCAACCCCGGTCTTCTAGTGACTTGTCAAGGCCGTTTATTGTGCAAAACAAGACACTCCACACTCGTGCTTAACCTGCTGAGAATGAGCTCTGGTATACATATACTTAGTGCTTTGTATGGCTCTCTTCTGTAGTAATTTGTGTGACAATAGCATGACATTTTATAGGTATCCGATATCTGACTTAGTTTGAAGGAAATCGGAGTCGTGTTTTGCGGAGTTAACCTAATTTTAGTTATCCCATTAAAGAAATGTTCGTTGTTTGTGTTTTAAAATTGAGTCGTTTATTGTAACTTAATATCACAGATCGAGAGTTTGGGATGCCTGTGCCCGAAATGTATGTTAGTGTTTTTGACTGGAGAAGCTTATCGACGTCTTCGTGGCAATCACGCCTTGAACGTTTTTCAAATATGTTGACACCGCATCATCCAAGTTTTACGATCTACGCTAATTCGTCGGCTAGAAAGCGCCATGCGCCGGTTGCCTCATGGGGCTTTCGTTTTTCAAGGCTCAAACCACTAACTCTCTGCTAGAAACGGCTAGTTCTATTTTTATTTCATTATTAATTAATTAATTTTTACTATTCGTCACTTTGCGGCACTATTCGTCACTATTCGCGACTATTCGCGGTATTCGGTCTTTATTCGGGTCGTCTATCCGATTTATCCTTGAGCGTGAAAAGGATAGACACCTGCCTTTTCTTGATTTAAATGTGTGCAGAGCGGAACAGGGGAATTTAGAGACAAGTGTTTATCGTAAACCTACCCACACCGACAAATACTTCGCTTTCGACTCTCACCATCGGTCTTCCTTTGCAAAAGGGAAAATTAAGCTTTGTCGGAGCACACATGCTTAACAAACCATACAGCTGGATGGGATAATTGTTCAGCTGGTTGTTTTGTGAACTTTGATATATCTTGTTTGGAAATTGTTTAGGCCTGTTAGAGTATTTTGAAATTCTTATGCGATTCTTGTAAGCCTTGATTTGTTATGTTCTGCAGGACCTCACTTTTACCTTTATCTCTTGAGTGGTGCGTCTTTGATCGTTGTGATAACGCTTAATTCTCGTATGATAATCGTCATCGCTATTCATTTTTGGATTTGTCACTGACCTTGCTTAAAATCCTCAATGGAAGGGTTTGTTTAGGTTTTGGTTTTGTTTAATACCTTGTTTTTCATTTCGAGTGTTTCAGTTGTGAGATTGTTTCAGTTAGCATTCTAAAAATATGTTTACTCTGCCAAGGTCAGTTGTCATCTAAGCCCAAACATGACTATCGATAAAGCATTTAAGAGCGTGTACTAACAGCTGAAGTAATAAAAGTGAGACACTCACAGAGAATGAAATAAACTGAACAGACTCTTGGTGCTTCCAGTTGGCACGCGTGGTTTTCAAAGTATTCTACCCTAACTACCCAACAAAATATTTAATTTCACGGTCATATAGCTTGAATTATTGGATTTGATGCCTGAGAAATAAGACTCTAATGTTATGGATAGATGAAATAAGAATGGAAATTCTTGATTATAAGCCAAATTAAGGAAAGAACAAGCCTTTTAGTCAGGTATTGCAAAAAGGTAGACTTTACGCTGTATCGAGGAATCATGATATCGATCTCTGATTGATTTGGCTAAAGTATGTTTATTAAAGCGGGAGAAGGTGAAGTTTGTGTTCATTCGACGACAATTAGAAATGAACCCTCAAAAGAATCATTGCCAAATATAATGCTAATAGAGAGCTTGTTGAAACAGGGACCGCGCAGAGGGAGGGGCTGGGGGGGCTTTAGCCCCCCCACTTTTTTGCAAGAATAAAAATAAATTAAACAAAAAATAATTTAACAAAAAAATTTTCGCATTCATCTTTAGCCACCCCACTCGAAAACTTGCTGCGCGGTCCCTGTGAAAAACATTTCACTTGTAGTTTTCAATGCACGTGATACACGTGGCTTTTTGTTTGCTTGTACAGTACGAAAAAATGTTTCTTTTAGTCATATCTAAGCGAGGGAAGAATTGAAATATTTCTTACTAAAATAATGACAGCGGTGGAATTCGAAAAGTAGCACCTTAGACCCCTCGGTCACGCTTTCACACGTCTTTTCTCTATTGTTTGATAATACGTAAGGTAAGGTAACCTTCATGATTAGCAACGAGGCCACAAAGGCACGTCCATTCGGTCTAATTTCGTTCTTGGAAACCCGTATCGATCACCATTTTAATAAACAGATTCTTTGCACGACCATACAGTATCACATGACTTTGCTAGTCGAAAGAAATGGTCGAGTTGAAGCCTTCAGCATTTAAGTCTTTCAAAACTTTTAACTTATTTCAGAGACTGGAACCTCGTACTGATTGACAGGAAATGCAAATAATCTTTACTCATTAATAGTTTGCTTACACAACCTAAATGAACAGCTGTTCTCCGCTGGCTTAATCAACAGGGGTTTACATCTGAACTTCTTCAATCAGTATAGCATTCGCATCAAGTAATATCCGACGGAAAAATCAAGACAAAAAATGAAGACATTGGTGCTAATCAGACTCAGCAAATTAGGTACAACGGGTTATGAGATAATTTTTTCCTCTTCAAAGGATTAAAATGATACTGATTGAAGTGGAAATAGTCTTTTTTTCATAGAGCTTGCAGCAAAATAAAAGTTGTCAAACCATGGTTACAAGGAAAATGATCACAACAAAAACAAATGTATTATGTTCAAGGATGTTTCTGTGAGCTAATTACTAGTTCCCATGGAAATAAATCAACATTGGATTCAAACAGCAGCTTTAAAATTATGTTTTGGTGACTTGCAGTCTATGAAATTACACAAAAGTTTGAATTACGCCTGTTTTATTCAGAATGTTTCCCTTTTTTTTCTAGTCCTGGCGTTAAGTACTACTTAGTCAAGGTCGTGACTGTATTGAATGAATATTGACTAGCATCCTTAAAAATATCACAATATCAAGGGTATCAGTGCTATATAACTACTTGAGACCCTAACGTTAGTAAACTAAACGGTCAACGCAGGTTGATCGAGTAACATCGCCTAATTAATTGGACAAACGCAAGGAGGAAGGATTGCAAAATGACTTCTAAAGCTCTTCTTCTTCTTTTCTTCATGGTGCAATTAGGCCAACCACTCTGTGGTTTACCTTTGGAAAGGCGAGATGGTGAGATATGTTTGTTAACGATCATGCAGTCTTGTTAATATTTCTTGACGTGTACACGGCTTGCTGGGAAGCCTTGCTTCAATTTGAATTAGAGTATTTTTATTTCTGCCTGAGAATGGAAGCCAAAGAAAAAAGATAAATCTGTTCTTACTTCTTAATTTAATCATCTTCATCAAAAAAAAAAAACAAAAAACTATAAATCTTAGCATCTTCTGTATGCCTTCTTGTAGTTATTAAGGAAGATAAAATCCAAAAAACTATAAATCTTACCATCTTCTGTATGCCTTCTTGTAGTTATTAAGGAAGATAAAATCAAAGTACTGCAACCTAAACAGTGGGTTGATGAGCAAGACTAGAAATTTTAAAGAAGCTATTCTTAAAACAGCTATAAAATTAGAAGGCTGATCAAATTATCTCGGTTAGGGGGTTTGACAACCGAGGAGAATAGGAAGCCTACCAACCTGTCTTTTGACGTTCCATAATCGCCGTGTGTCATGTTTTGATCCCCTTTTCTTCACTTTTATACGAGGACCACTCAAACGTCTTGAGGTCATCGACAGGCAATCTTATGAGAACTTTTCCGAACATGTCAATACCGTATTTAACTCATTTCCTTACAGACGAGGGAGACGATGGTGACCAAGGATTACCTAAAGACGAAAAGGATGATGATTTTCTTAAAGATGTTAACGATGGAGATGTCGATGGGGGAGAGGAAAAAGAAGAAAAGGACTATGGAATAGATGATGCAGATGGCCAAGTTAATGGAGGTAGATTCAGAGACAAGTCAAATGATGACAGTAGTGACAAAGATACAGATGATGGTAGTCATGAGAGTGGGGATGACAAGGATGGTGAGAATGTTGGAAAAGAAAAAGAGGACGATGATGACACTCATGATAATGATGACGAAGAAGGTAAGAATGTTGACAAAAATGGCCATGAGGAAAACGATGGAGATGACAATTACAGCGAAAATGGGTACAGTGGAGACAAGGACCACGAGAAGGACGACGATGATGTTAACGATAACGACGACAAGAATGACGAAGACAGTGACAACACCAATGATGATGATGATGATGATGAAGGTGATGATGACAAGGAAGACGAGAAAGATGGAAGTGGTGTTGAAGACGAAGATAAGGAAGATGGTAGTGGTGTTGACGAAGGCGACCTTGACGATCAGGGTTACGAAAGAGGTAACAAGGAAGGGGATTGGCCGAAGAGTGGTGACGTTATGGACTTGTTTAAATCTGACGCAGTTTCATCTTTTAAAGGACTTTCTATTAAGTATTTTAGCATTTCCACCTGTATAAGTGGCATTTTAATTGGCTTTCTTCATTAGCTCAAACTACCAAAGCCCACAGGTGTTAGCTATGTTTGAAATTTTCCTGTTAATTTATTGAATGAAAAGGAGTCAAATATTTCAGCCCTTCCTGTCAGCTTGCCTTGTATATATGGTGCCACCAACCGTTTTTGTCATCCTGTATAAATGATGTAAAGAAATAATTAATTTTTCAGTGAAATACTTACCATCATAACCATGCACTTGTTTTTACAAGTATATGAAGACTGGTTCTACAAATTCAATATAAATTCCTCCTTATATTTTTGTAACTGAGGTGCTCATGTGTGGTATTAAACAATTGGATAAATTGAATAAATGAGGACAATAGCGAAGAGTTCTTATTTTCACTGAGCCTCTTATGAAACTTTGATTTTGGATCACAGGTGTTCTCACTTCTTTCAGATCTCACGTCGACATTCAGTTGAGACCCCGCTGCGAAACGGGGAAGATTAGCCATCAAATGAGGCCCAGCGTCTCAAGAAAAAGATAGTTCAGTTAACGGATCATTTTTATTTACTATATGTTGCTCAACGCATATAAAAAAAGTCAAATAAACCCTACTCAATGAAGAAATGGTCACATTTTAGCCTTCTTTCATATGCAGATGTATCTTTATTTTCCATTTCATCTTTTCATTGATGGTTGCTTACTGCATGACATAACTTGCCCCATTCGAGTAATACTTCAGAAACGACTGATCACAGCTTTCGTTCTTCAGTTATAGTGGACATATACAGATACTTCCGCACCCAACACACGTGTAATTTTTATTGACCAAAATGGATAAGTTATTGCCTATGAATAAAATTTGAGGGCGCCTGCGTATTTTTTTTCTTTTGCCATTTAAAAGTCGTGCCTATCTTGTGAGTTAAGATTTTTCTTACGATATGATATTGTAACATCTTAAACAAAGTCATCTTTTCTCTTAAACTTAATTTATATCACTTTATTTATACCAGCACATTGGAAGGACTTGAAGCAATAGATAAACTGTAGACCTAGCAGAGTTTTTATCTGGTGTTAATTGGTGCTTTGACGCCGCGGCATGACGGTGCAGATAAAGCGGAAGTAAAAAAAATAAAAATAATTTTCAGTCTATTGCATTCTCCAAAGTTATAATTAAATGTACAACGCACGATGTTTGCCTGGAGGTCATAGAAATAGGAAAAGTTAAATCGGTACGCGTATTAGATCAATATTTTCCTTCTGTCTGTTGACGAATGTTTGTATCCAGGATAAAATTAAATCGCCTCCGTAAATACTTGTAGAGCCGACCACATTATTTCATGGGATGTTATGCTGAACTTGGCGGCATAAATTCGGTTTGTTATTGAAGATATGCTGTAGCTTCATGGTGTTAAGTGACCGAGAAATATCCATGTGAACTGGATGTATGGTGACTTTGGTTGATCAGTGCCTGTAATAGCAACATGAAATATTTGCCCGATTGTTTAAGCAGCGGGGGTCATATTAGTGAGATCGGCAGTCTAATTAGGTCAATATCTGTCATCCGATGACGAATGTTTTTCCTGTGCCAAAATTGGTTAGCCACGAAAAGTAACTCGTACAGGGTAGAGAGTTTCACGGAAACTATGACACGATTTAAACCCTGTGTTTCATGCCAATTTTAACTTTCTTTAAAGCTTAATCAAAAGTCAGGAACACTGCTTAGATTGACAGAAGGAACGTATTTCAAGGATTTACCAATTGACCTTAATTAATTTGGTCAAGATGCACAAAAACATTCAATTTGTGTGACGGGAGTAGTTGCGGATAATCATATTAGTTGGATCGGTAGTATATTTGATTTAATATCTCCCGGCTGTCTGATGAATTGCATTTGTTTCCCGACAATGAGTATTTTTAGAAGTCAGAGGGTTTCAACAAGTATATGAAACGATCTGTAACTTGGGTGCGGGTGAGCTAAAAAAAAGTCGTCAATATTGTGGCACTTCTTCGATATCCTGAAAATTAGTATATGTCTGCTAATTACCAGCAAGCACCGACAAATTTATTTTTCTCTGGCGGTTGCCGTGACTCTTGCTCGTGTTTTTATGTTCTAAATGTTTCTCATGCACCATCTTAACCAGAGAATGAGAACCTAAAGTCATTATGCTCATTTCAATAATTGCTGACTTCGTAAACTGTGAGAATTACTTCAAGTTTCATTCATAGGAATGCGTTAATACGTTTTTCCTGCAACATAGGTTGCGTCGAGGTAAACATCTAAGATGCCTCCTGCACTCAGCATCCGCTCTGACTTCACTAGTTGGTCATAAAGATTTTTTGTTAGTAATAAGGGGTGTTTGATTCTTAGTTTAATGAACTTTGCTAACCTCTGCAATTTTTCTTCAATTAATCTATTGATAAACACGTTCCTTAATAATCAAGTGGTCACATAAAAACCCTGTAAAGATGGTGACTATGCTCAGTTTCATAAATCGAAGGCTATCGATTGTGATAAGGTTTTCTAAACAAGTTTGGAATATTCCGAGCTATATAAAATTTCGTTGATCTGTTTAAGTTCAAAATTACAAGTGAAGAGATCTTGAAATCCAATATGTTATCCAAATCAATTATATCAAACCCGAAGTTTCTTCACTCAAGACTTGATACTGCATCCTAAAGATTGTCACTTCGTTGGCAAGAAATATTGTTAAAAGTGTTAAGCGAGTTAATTGTGAGAAAAAAAAGAATCTTTCTAGTTTTCTTCTTTATCTGCATTACAATTATTTCTTTTCCATGGATAGTAAGTTTTACAAACATCCATAGGCCACACAAATGTTCTAAAAGAGGATTCCGTGCCCACAATTTTAAAAGCACAGGCCAGACTTGAGCAAAGATCATATTGCAAATTGATGAATAAATGGATTTAATAATGATTGGGGCGGAGGATGGAGGAAGCAAAGAAGAGCTTTTGGAGGAAGCAAAGAAGAGCTTTTGGAGGCTTCATAATAAAATGTATTGGAACACTTTTTTTTGATAGTTGGCACTGAATTGAACTCGAAATACTGACATCAATGACTTCAGCCCTCAGAAATATTTTTGACACTTAATGGCAATGCAGAGAGGTCGTGCAAATAACTTGACAAAACTGGAAAACAGTTTAATGAGGAGATCGTAATTAGCTAAACTTTTATTTCAAAGGACAGTGGAAGTTTAGCGGCGATGAAATGGGAAAGTAACTTGTAAATGGCGATTAAATGTGGATGGCTAAGACGAAAAAGTGGGGAGGAGTGCGCTGTGGCTGTATTGCTTATGAATTATCTTCTTTTCTTTCTCGGTGATATTCTTATTTGCAGGAATGTTACCTATTAGGAAAGGAGAAATAGTACATTTTGAGTTTGTCTGACCGATAAAAAAATATGTTTTACGTTTGGTCAAAAGAGTGTGACAATAGCACCAAAAACGAATCATTCAAATTGAATTACATATATATTCTATTGAGAGTTATCAAAGTAGAAGATTCGTGTATTGATGTACATAAGAGAATCGCTTAGGTTAAATGCAAGAGGTTAAAAAAAATAATTCCTTTTAGAAGTGTTAGGTCTGCTCTAATTTTCCCTCCTTTTCCATTTTATAAACTATTTGCTATTTTTAATAGTTATTGCAATGTACTTTTCTATGATTGTGAATAAGATTTTTATAAACTGGCCTTCTTAGACCCGCATTAGCCGCCCTTGGTCTAGGAGAATATTGTGCCTCTTCATCGAGACGATAAGTACAATAAAGATTGATCGATTGCAAAAAATCTTAGACCTCACCATGTGGATTAAACTAACCTGTAAAATAAGCCTTCTATTGGTTGCCCATCGCATTGTTTTGGCACATAATTTAATTGCACTGTAAATTCTTTTTCCAAATGTATCGCCAATTTATTTTCAAAAAGCTAGGCTCACACCTCTGTTCACCTGTGATGTTACTTTCGGACGCTGGTATGTCAAGTTTTAACCGCGTTCAATTTGATTTACTAGTGTGAAAATCATCTAATTAAAAAGACAGGAGCTAGTCATAATAGAGCACCCACTAGCAAATAGCTTGAAAACAAATTTGAGGAATATCTCCTTACTTTAGTTGAGATGATTAAACAAAGATTTGCAACGGTCTCAAAGACCTAAAGATTTTAAATTTTTGTGATGAGGGAAGCGTAAGAAAATTTACAACGAAATTACACCGACAAACAGGTAGACAAACAAACACGTCGCGATTACTCGATATTGTCTACCATGTAGACTTAGTTGTTGTTTAGAAGTTGAAAAATCCCGATTGTGGAGTCTTTGAACTTTTTACCGCGGTAACCACAAAATTGATTATAGAATAGCGAATCCTAGCTTCATATCTTTCCAGAAATGAACTGGCGGCACAAAATACTAGGTAGTTGGTATTCTAATACTCATCCTCGGTGGTGATGACCAACCGGCTAAAAAACAAACGCTAATTTTTTTGTTACCGACAAGATGGAAAAAAAATTCAAGGGACGAAACATCGACATTTACACATTTGACGTTGCCAGATTATTAATCTTAATAAATATTTAGTTTGATTAATTCATCGTTAATTTATTATAAACGCCTTGCCTCCGACAATGGGTATTAAAAATTACCGCCCTTTCGGTATTTTATGCCGCCTATTTCAAGTAGAGGGATAAAAAGTTAGGATTCCTTTAAAATTTTCTTTTATGAGCATTTTGCTGGCCACTGCGGTGAGTAGCTCAAGAGGCTTTTTTCAATGCCGAATTAGCATATTTTTTGTCATTCTTTTTAGGGATACCTATTTTAATACATTCAATTGCAAAATAAAACGTTTTTAAAGCTGTTGTACTTTAATTTTCAGTTACATAAACCTTTTTCTCAATAGGGTCAGTAGGTCGGTAGATATTCCATGGATATCACACTCAACCTATCGCGCAGAAGAATGCATACAGATACGTACTCTAAGATACCGAGTGCGTCATAACCTTATTTGGTACAGCTCTTTAGCCATGCGGTTAGAGCAAATAATATTTTTTCCAAGGCGGTAAAGCGGTGTACGTGTTGTTGAAGCGTAATGATACCGAATTGTTTTTTATTTTTTTCTCCAAAGACACAAATTTCCCTCACTGGTGACGTATTTTGTTGATCATGACAAATGGAAGGATTAAGCCAATCCCACAAACATTCATTTCAGATAAAATGATATATCTTTTGGAGGGGTACAGTTATGCTCGTATGAGCTGAGTACATGGGAGTATGTTAGAACAGAACATTTGTAATGTTCGGCTTTAAACAAGGTTGTAAATACGTTAACTGAATCAGCCTTGTGACCGTGTACATCATAAGACAAGCAGTTAGAATTAAAAGCAGCAAAAGCCCTTTTTAGGCTTACACTTATAGGGACTAATCAACCGAGTAATTAGAAAGAATTGATTCTGTTTTTCAGACACACAAATTATTTTAATACACGAGGCGCTCGCCTGTGACCGAGTTTAATCCTGTGCAAATTTCTTTATTTTTTTAATTTTAAAGCATATTTGATAAAAGCCTCGACGCTCAAGTCCATCTTATAGAGACATGAGCCTCGAGGCGTACTTGAACGTGGCCTGAACGGACCCAGCCGGTTAGACTTAGCATTCGAAAGCATCGAACTGAAAAGACACATGCAAAGAACCTTTTACCGAGTTACATTTTGGATTACATCGGATCACTAGATTTCATTGATATGTCTAAATAAAATGACATGCATATAACTGCTTTAGACTGACGTTGAAGTAGATAGGGATTGTCCCTCTCAATCATGCTCAAAATAAATCCTCGATGTTCACTTAGAAAATCGACGTTGTTTGAGATACCGTCAAGAGCGATTGGAAAATAGGAGTATAATTTAAAATGGAAGTAGTTGCAGTCTCTTCCTTCATGTTATCCTTGTGTGTAATACTTGTGCGCTTATTATCAAATGGGTTAAAAATGTATCGTTTCTAAGAGTCTTCGTACGTGCGTTCCACACAGACGAACATTGCTATGACTTAGTTACTTTTCTTGCGCTGGGGATGTTGATTTTAACTAAAATGACTTTGCAGAAAATAATCTTTGCTCAAAGTTTATTTTGTTGACGGTGGCGTTTCTTGTCCCGTATCTGTAATTTTGCTCAACTATCATAGTAACAGGAGAAAAACGAAAATACCCATGAGCTTAAAATTTTGTTGGATAAAAATCGTTTTATCGTTTTTTGCAGCAATTTTTCTATGTCTAAATGATAATCCAGGATGAAGGAAGCCCAAAATAGATGGGCTTCACCACTGGAAAACATTCAGTCAGCAAATCATCAACGATACAAACCTAACAGTTGGACTCTTATGGGATGAACTTGGCAATGATAGCTCTTCGTTTTATTAGCATTTACCTTCCACCATCAGATTATTGTCAGTCATAGTTGTGAGTGTCCGTTCAGCCAAAATTGTGAATTGCTTTGATTAATAGCTTTAATTTTATTACCGGCTTCTACTGATTGTTGTAGTTAATTATGTAATTTTCAGCGTCTCCAACCATAATTCTTGAGCCGATGTTAGAAAAACGAGGAAACTTCGAGATGATCGCAGGACTCTCTAGGTTTAAACCAAAGTAATCATATCTTGAAGTCAGTGGCTCAGCGCATGTCGTATATTGGCTGAAATGACCAAATCTTAAGAGGCACTCATTTGGTTCTCAAGACAACTAGGAAAAATATGCAAAGGAAATAGACTGTGTGCTTGAAAAATAAGGCAATATCAAGCAATGAGTAAAAAAAAGTTAGTAATGAACCACTGAAAGCCACTAAACTTTGTACTGTGAAGTAAAAGAAAACATGGTTTAGAAAACGGAATTAAAACAACGTAAGGTATCGGGTGTTTTTAGAAGTCATTTAAATGTTGCGACGAAGGACTGAAGGAAATAGTAGTTTCATTTCTTCTAAGCACTGTTTCTAATCCAGTTGAGCTTCAAATAACTAATGTGTATCGCAGTGCTTTGCATGACTATGAAAATAGCGATCGATAGCGCACAGTTTTTACTAAGTAAAGGACTGAAAATTTATCTTGTTGGATCGATAGTTTGTTCGGATTGTCATAAGCTCTCCCTTGATAATCCGGCGTCTCTTAATTTATGGGAAATTTGGATTGGATTGTAACGAGAACACCTTTCCTGCAATATTCAAATGATGTCTAAAATCCGTGATACACTTCAAATTCATCACGATATCCCATAGAAAAAACGCCAATAAAACGATCTCTAATATCGATTTGCGGTCTGCGGCGTCTTAATGCCAAACTTGTTCCAAGGTCGTTGATTTTTGTACGTGTTAGTTGACGCGGTTTTTCAGGCAGTTCGATCTGTTATTTAAATTACTCACATTCGTTTTCAACATTCTCATGACTCGACTCGAGAACATCGATATATCTGCTGCGTTCTAAAGCAGACGTTTAAACAATATACCCTAACCCGGGTTTTACTTAATTATGACAACTATGAAACCAACCTAAAAAATAAAATTTCCTTGAAGGCTCCATGAATCCGTTTCGCGGGTAAGAAATGATTAACATGATTAGGGTGCGGTTGTTGAGGTTCCGATCTCTCATAATGAACTTATGGCAATGACAACCGCAAATAATGATTGCTATCATTTCCTACAATTAACTAATTAGCCTCGTGGAAAAACAAAAACTCTCTTCCACGTCTAACGCAAAGTGTACAATGGTGGAAAGCAGACAGCAAGAATTTTAAAATTTACCTTAACCGTTTGCATGAAAGCCACGGTCAACCTCTCAACTGCTGAGCCTTAACGAAGTTTTTTTTATCGTTCGACGTAAATTACCATATTTAATTCGCAGACGTTTCTCTTTCGGTGCCCGCATGGAATGTTCCTTTTGATTTTATTTCCCGAAAACAGAGATTGATATTATTTATGCAGGCCTTGCAAACAGCTTGACACAAACTCATCTCATATATCATAAAGTAATTTTATTTTAGGCATAAATTCTAAACTTAAACTACTTCAGTTTTGTTTTATTTATTTCATGTTTTCTTGCCCTGGATACATAGAGTCGAAAACATCAACATGGCGCATGCTCGTTGCTTTTACCATACACCAGATTACCGGCAATCCAGAGATGCCGGTGACAATGAGCATACCTTTCCGTCCTACTTAGCTAATATCTTAAGTACCATTCTTTTATTTTTTTATTTTATTTTATTTTTTTGGTGACGAATGAAGAGTAACCTGCATGACAAACATGACGTCGAAAAGGTTTTATTTTAGAGAAAGATGTTTTTCGTCTTGTCACGAGCGTGGGAAAAAGAAAACATTCTGAGTTCCCATGAGGAATCGAATCTCCTTTGTCGGAAAATGATCTACGGCTCGAGTTTCGTAAGAGTAATTACAGGCTCCCGCATTAACATGATTTTTTTTTTCAGTTGTTTATTTTTCCTCTCTTTTTGTTTTACTTTCATAAGGACGGAATTAAGTACAACTACCAAGATGCTAAAATGCATCGCGCGGCATAAGTGGAATTTTAAGAGCATTTACATAAGGACCAATTTAGCGGAAGAGATAAGATCAGACTGAGTTAAGTAACATAAGCAACGCCACCAAAATGGCTATTTCAGAACTATTGGCTTTATATTGCAGTCTGTAAACACTTGTTTCTATGGTTACTTATTCCGTGAGTTTCAGTGGCATAAAAAGGTCAACAAAGCAGATACTTAATGGGGGTATTAAAAGAATTATTTAACTTTCTCAAATTTCCGATCACAACTATCGGTTAGGCGTAATTTTCAATACGAAATTTCCAACCTACGTGATACTCTTCCCACCAATAAGAGCCTAAGTGTTTTTACGAAAAAAGGAAGGCTTCCTTAAACAATATCGACACTTGTTGAATGGTTTTAGAAATTTTCCATGACATTGCCTCGACACCTTGATAAACATAACAATATCTTGAGTGTCAAAACGATACGTGTGCATGTATATTTCACATTCTCTCGAGAACCCTATAAATACTAAAACAGAGTAGCGACGAAACCATAATCGACAAGACGACGGGAGAGTTGAGACAAAAACGACGCAGAGACTTGAACTGCAGAAGAAAAATGAACTCCAAACTGTTGTATCTTCTTTGTCTTGTGGCTCTCTTGAGACCGCTTGGGGGTTTTCCTTTATCAGTGACTGCCGGTAAGATGAGACAATTTATCTGTTTAATGAAATGGTTTCTATCCTTTCAGTTAGAAACCATTATTTACAGTTGATAACCTCAGTTGTTTCCTTTATAACTGAAACATTATTTTATTCTAGTTCAGTAAGGAAGAATCCTAACGCATTGTGTAGAGAATCATTCAACTACTCAGCCCCCGTCCGGCTAAACGTACCGCGTGATTGTTAAAATGATCGCGTGCTGAATTAGAGCGGTTAATTCATCTTTAGTTTGTTTTGTCAGATTTCTGATCTAAAGCAATATCCCCTTTTTTGTGGTTTCACATAGGGTTGCTTCTCTCTATTGGATACTTCGTGAAAAGTTTAAACTTTGATTGCTTTGTAACGTAAATACGTTTTACGTTCTTAGTTATTAACCATAGCAAATCCCTACTTTCCAGATGATGGAAGCGCTTCTGGAGAAAGTGGAGATGATGAAAGCGGTAAGATTTCAAAATATGTGCCCTACTTCATCGGAGTAGTTTTTTTTTAATTTGATATTTCACTGAACAAACTCTTAGATTAGTATTACGCTAATATCTCGACTGATAGTCTTCGTTCTCTTTCATTTTTTTTCTCCCCTCTTTCTTTGTTGGACCCAATACATACAGCACATACTCAATATAGATGATTACACCATCAGGCTTGAACCAATAAAATGAGTTGTTTCAATACTCCTTCTGCTTGGCGTTTTCAAGAAATTGACCACGTGCTATTTTTCTCAATATTCAGGCGAAGAGTCTGGAGTTGACAGCGGCGAAGAAATTGACGACGAGAGTGAGTCTGGAGATGATAGTGGTGAGGAGTCTGGAGAGGACAGCGGTGAAGAAGTTGAGGATGACGATGGCGAGGAGTCTGGAGAGGACAGCGGTGAAGAAGTTGAGGATGACGATGGCGAGGAGTCTGGAGATGACAGTGGTGAAGAAAGTGAAGACGAAAGTGGTGATGAAGATGGCGATGAAAGTGGTGAGGATGGTGGAGATGACAGCGATGACGATGATGATGATGAGGATGACGATGATGACGACGATGAGGATGACGATGACGATGACGACGATGATGATAATAATGTACAAAGCTTCAATGATAATGGCTTGCAACATGTGGTCGAAGAGATTGGAAAGGGCAATAGCACTTACGGCAAAGAGAGTAATGGTCTAGACCAGTTGGTTACTTCAAACGGATTTGCTATCAACGGAGGCCTTGCTCATATTCTCCTTGCATTGACATGTTTGCTTATCAACTTCCCTTACTAATTTTTCAATAAATGCTTCATATTGAAGATATCGTTCGCGGTGCGAATGTTTTGTGTTCATATTTAAGAGTAAGTGACAATTGACAAAGTTCCCTTCAATTTTGTCGGCTTGTAAATATCTCAAGGGACTGCCTCGGTTCAAGATTACAAATAAAGACAAATTCTGGCCACATAGTTTGACCGCATATTCCTTTTTATGGAATATGAACTTTTCTATAATATGATTGAAAGGCCATTATTTTATTTATTGAACAGTAAGAACTTTGGAACAAAGCGCAAGACAAGAGAACACTTACCTATTTACACTGTTATGGTATGGCTCCTCTGCCTTGAACAGTCATCTTAATGTTAATGAACTCAGCCGACATGTGATGAAAACAAATAATAGCAACAAAAAAGATTTTAAAAATGAAAAAGAGAAACAGCATCAGTAAATAATTCCAAAGAAAATAAATATAAATGTGCAATCTTTGGCTAGTGTTCTCGCTTAATTTCAGGAAACACTATCCATGGGAAAGGTTTACATCTTTACAGAAAATAAAACAAGTCCAAGTCCAGTTATTCGGATGATGGTTTTAGGGCATTATCCCTGCGCGGAGATATATGGCTAAAAAAAGGAAGCTTCCTTCCCTTTCCCCCCCATCAAGCATTCTGTCAATTTCTACAGAAACCTTAAATCCTTTTGCCGCCACCGAACTTTCTTTCCCCGAGAATGATTAATGTTTAGGTGCAGCGTTGTACATACAGTCACCCGCTTCAAGCACAGTCAGGATTAAAAGCTAACAAGTGAAAAATAAACAAAACGAAAGAAATTGAGATGAAAGTCCTGGTTATGGCAATCGTTTATGATCATGCTTTCAAGTACGCATGGTTCCTCAGAGGTTTGTATTAGCTTCCGTAAAGATTCGTCTTTTAAAAACAAATTGAAAATGCATATTAAATAAAAAAGTAAGGTCGAAAGAAGGAGGAAAGGAAAATAGCAGACAAAATAAGACAATTTAATTAAAAGCAAAACAGACAGTCAAGGATACAAAAATGAACAAAGCTATGTTGCGTAAGCTTTTAAATTTCATATTTTCTGCCAAGTTATATAGCAGTAGCCAAGGACAACATATGCAAAGAAATAAGCTTATGCTCTACGCTTCTATATTTCCTTTTTCGTGTTGAGTGGAACTCCCACTTCTTACAATTAGTCAGGCTTACGCTGGTCTCTGTATTTCAGAAAATAGGCGATCTAAGGTAAGAGAAAGTCTTTACAGACTTCGAATTCAAGAGGGGTAATACAAAGCTCCTCATGGTAGAAGACCTGAAATTATCCCATTAAAAAACCTGCAATGATCTCAAGGTTTTACAAACAGAAATCTACAACACAATTTTCAACTCATTCTAGTCAATTTGTATTAAGAGCCTGTCCACGACAGGACCGGGCAGGCGTGACACATGCTATCGCACCGATTTCTTTCAAACTTTCACAGTTTACGAGGATCGTTAAGTTATTCAAGAATTCAAAGTAATTCGGGCTTCCAGCTTATCCCTGGGGTATTAAAGCCTCCACACCAAACCCCTGGGGCAAAATGTTAAAATAAGCTCGAAAAATGCACTTCCAACGGATCTCTATCACACTAACAGAATGCGATGGATCTTAATCTTATCAAGTCTAATAGTTGTTGGAACCTTAAGGAAACAATTCCTTAAGGCTGGAGTAATTTGATATAACCTCTGTCAATTTAGAGCAGTTAATCATTAACTGTGTCACGCAACTATTTCAAAAAATAGAAAAATTAGGGTTTTTTTAATGCAGATATCTCCAATGGGCACCATTGTATGTCGACAAAGATACCATCACAGAAAAGAACTATCCTAACGCTACCTTGGTGGGCAAAAAAATTTTTGGCATCTGTAAAAGCTTCCTGATCACGTCCCTCTGACGTTAGTTTATACAATTTTTGGTCATAAACTGATGTCTACTCACTCAATTTCAATTTGAAATTGGAGTGGGATCGCTGACGCTAGCTTTTGTGGTTCTAATGTCAAAAACCAACAGATGTGTAGCTGCCGAGCTAGGGATTGACTAATCATAGAAATTCTGTGACTCTGACACAATCTATTGGAAAAAAATTATTCATAAATGTATGTACATATCATACTTTAAACATTACCGAGTTAGGTAAAGGACGTCGGCAGTTGACAGAGACGTTTGCCAAATGTAATTTACGCAAATGCAACACAATACATACCTGTAATAATTTTACTTAATTTGTGGGAAGCTTTGGAGAGGACTCCATCGAATGTTAGGTGCATTACAATAAAGTTGTTCCTGTTACATTTAACCATGTAGAGTAGAGTCGAGTAGTCTATATTAACTTTCCTCTTAGGAGGCTATTCTAGGTTAATTACAACACTTTGTGGGGACTTGGGCTGGACTGCGCTGAGGAGTTTGCAATTTTTGGAACAAAATGTTGCAATTGTCCCCGATTTGGGAATTAAGGTCAGACCACAACAGCGCGAGCTACGTTCCCTTCTCTTTAAAAAAAGGGCGTGGAATGTTTAACGTCCCTTGCTGACCAGTTATGACAACTTGGGCCTGAGATGCTGTCACATGAAACCTTCAAACACCCTTAGATGGCTGGCTTAGTGGCTGGAGTACTCCTATTATATGGCCGTATGCGCAATCCCATAGAAAATCTTAATCCCATAGTAAAAGCTGTGACGTGAACAGGTCCGGAAAAAGCCGTCCCAGCCCTACACCTACACAGTTTTGCTGAAAAAACTTGGATGTAGCGTCTTGTCTCTGAAAAGAAAGACATGTATCTCATGGGCAACACCCCCTCTAAGCTTATTGCCACTGTAGAGGTAGAGCTCCAAATCATCGACAACCTAAACGACTACTTATTCAAAATCCTTTGAAACTAAATTGAATGATTTTTTCGTTTTATTGTGTACATTTCTGAAATATTTTCACTTTTAAAGTCCTGTAGAATTTGACCACTCAAATAGCCTAGAAAAGTGAAGACTACATGTCGACGTATTCTAGCTAACCCCTTTCGTTCAATGTATGGTGTCACCAGATAATGACTATTGGTTTATTTTCTTACATGTCCTTTTAACCCTGTGTTATGTACACTGATCATCCTGAATCTATCGACGTATTTCAAACTTTTCCCTGTAGCGTTTTTAGAATTACCGTCTCGGACATAGAACTCTACCTCAACTTCACCATCCGCGTGCTTTTTGACCGCGACAGAAAAGTGCCATGACTTTCCCTTTATGCCAAACCATTTTCTCTGTTTCCCAGTGAACAACTAGAGGGAATTTCATGGCCCAGTTCATAATTATGAGCACTTGGTTGTTGACCAGGTCCTCAATAACATTACAGCGTCTTAAAGGACAGGGATGTGCGCTATCCACTCGTTAATATCAGGGATTACGTTATATACGTCATGCTGTAGGTCTTCCAGCTGGTATTTACTTTAACCATCAATTAAAGGAACTCCGCCTATCCAAAAAAAATTATGCTTACCATTAGATGAAAAAAAACGTATCTTATATCTTTTTGCGTCTTTGTGACAATGCCAAGCCTTCATAAGCTTACTCGAATCAGAATCTTACAGTACGACTTCAGCGATCCCCAAAGATGTTTGCGATCGCCGTCAAGCCACACTTTAAAGTCACATGAGGCGATTCATAAAAGAAGGAAACGACTAAACAACGTCGGTAACACGAAGGCTGAGATTGAATAATATGGGGAGGGGCGAGGGATGAGAGGGTGCTACGCCACGGACGCAGAAATTCAAGACTTTTTCCGATATAAGAAGAAGCCCAGCATGGCTGACATTCAACGAGTGCGGTCACTTTTACAAGAGGATTTCTTACAAGGAGAAGAAACCGGCAACAAGGCAAATCCTTCTGATGTTGTTCCTAAAATGAAGCGTCTTTAAGATAGGCAAATGGAGACAAATTGTTCATCAACGAGGAATGACTTAAGGCCCATCTCCTGAGTGGAATTGTAAGTGCCTCCTTGAGAATGAATGTACGATCAATGCGTCAACAATACAGAAGCGACTAGGACGAGATTTCAGGTAAGGAAGAGAACTAGAAACTTGTTATTGGCCTCAGAGTGAGAAAAAAGGCATTTGTGCTGTTAAAAGGGACTGATAATGAAAAATCGACCAATGAAGACCCTTTATTTTTAAAAACAATACTTTCAGAAACCTCTCCTTGTCTTATTATACAGAATATTATTAAGAAATAAAGAAATATTCTCACTTTAGGTACATTACTCCTTTAATGGCACCTGAAATTGGATGGAGTCTTATTCCCACAGAAAAAACAATTATGGCGCATTGAGTAAAATTATAATACGTATATAAAGTGTTTCATTTGTGCAAATTACATTTGGCAGACGTCGCTGTCAACTGCCGACTTCCATTACCCAATTTGGTAATGTTTAATGTATGATATGAATATGTATTTATGAATCATTTTTTCCAATAGATTGTGTCAGCGTCACAGAATTTCTATGATAAGTGAATCCTTAGCTCGGCAGCTATACATCTGTTGTTTTTTGACATTAGCATCACAAAAACTAGCGTCGGCAATCCAATTTCAAATTGAAATCGAGTGAGTAAACATCAGTTTATGACCAAAAATTGCACAAACTAACGTCAGAGGTCACGTATTTCAGAGGGACGTGATCAGGAATCTTTTTTACAAAGGCCAAATTTTTTCGCCCACCAACGTAGTGTTAAGATAGGTCTTTTCTGTGGTGGTAACTTTGTCGACATACAATGTTGCCCATTGGAAATATTTGCAATTAAAAAAACCTAATCTTTTATTTTTGTGTTAGTGTGACAGAGATCCGTTGGAAGTTGCGTATAGCAGAAGAGCGAAAAGAGACAGGAGAGAAACAAGGGTAGATGCTATGACTAAAATACAAGAAAGAGGTTGTTTCTAACATCATTTCTCTTTCAAAGCTTTCAGCAGTTTGATACTTGCGCGGTGTCCACCACAATATAATCACTTGTCTTTTTATGATGCTTATGTTAACAAAAAGACCATGCTTCATGCTTGATGCTGCACGGAATCACATATTCACCGATCCACCCCATTATCCATGCCATTCCTGATTTTCTTAGGCGCATCATTTCCGTTCACTTATGAACGGGATCATGCAGAGGCCCATATAAGTGTACGCTGAATTTTAGCTTGTTCAATGATTTCGGTGGATAACTACTGGTACTTTTTCTCAAAGATTAACAGGCCGATACAAAAAGCTGAAGAACCTCCATCACAGCTAAATCATGGCACAATTCAAGTTGAAAGATCTTGGAAAACAACGGTTAAAAATTTCGTCAGCTGTGTCAGTAGTTCCCACTGCTCTTCGGCTTGAGCTTGGAGTGATTGTGGCTCACAAACATCCAAAGTCGATACCCCTATTCAACATAAATTGATTAAGCATACGTCACGAGGATTGTAAAAAGCGGCTGAAAATATTTCTTTCGGGTTTTAGTTATGAGAAAACTGAGAGAGATTAACAGAAATTATAATGGGTAGTTTCAGTCAAAGGCATGAAATGTAAAGCAGAACAAATATGTTAATAAACGAGAATAATTAGCAATATCTGAATTCTATCAATAACTTAACCACGAATTTTTTCGTCAATGCCATCATAATTTATCGTTACTTTTTACACAGAGAAGGACAAAATCCAAAAACAAAAGACGGTAGTGCTTTTCTCATCATAATGTAAGAGTTGCGTGAAATGATAAAAAGGACCATATTTAAAGATTGTTGTTTTTATGTTTTCTAGACTTAGATGCGTGCAGGTATTTACGTGATAAACTAATAGTAATATAACATCCGGTTATACTGTTTTCATGTAAATCCCGCCCCTCTAGGTGTGTCTTAAGTTGGAATGATGATTAAATCATATTAGTAACGTCATGAAATAGATATGAGAAAGTAGTTTATATCTACACGACGTGCATTTTCCAAGTGGATTTGAATCTGTTCGGACCGAAAGCTTAGTGGATAGGAGGAGATAGGGCCGAAGTGTTGGATAAATGGCCTCGAGACTATTGCTTTTACTTGGTCTTTTAGTGCTGTTACAGCCTTTGTGGGGTTTCCCTCGGCCTGGTAAGGAACACAGGTTATTGTTGAGGGCATCATGTTTGGCTTTCGTCAATTAGGTTTTTGACTGATGCGACGATCAGTGGAGTGACCTCAAAGAGTCTAAGCATAAAGTTCACTTCAAATAGTATCTCCCTTAATTCGACTTGAATTTTTCTTGGCTTCCTTAGCTTATTGCGTTCTGCTAAATTTATTTTATTTTGTTTCATCTTATTTTTCTTTTAATAAATTTTTAAAAGAGATATCGCATATTGGCCGTTGTTGTAAATTCAAAAGAAATGACATCTGCAGTTTGAAGATCTTCGAGTTGAAGCCCAAAAAAATCTCCTTAAATACTTGTTGGAAACAAAGTGTGATGTTAAATGCCAATTAGATTAAAGACTGGCGTTTGCTTGCCTCAGAGATTATTGATATTCCAAGAGACGGCTGAGTTATTTTTGTGACCAAGTGGTTCCTTCTGGAATGAAGATGAACAAAAAAATATCGTTACTGATTTGGAAATCGTTATAAACTAACAATGTCTGTTTTCTAATCGCTCTGACGAAGGGCTAACGCTCGAAACGTCAGCTTTTTTACCCTTTACGGTGGCTAATTTACGTTTTCAACCCAGTTGTTAACACTAAATTACCTGCAATGTCTATTTTAGGTCTGGTATAGAAGAAATACCTAATACACGCTGGAAAACGGTCTTTTGAGACAATTTAGGTTGAAATTTCGCAAATACAGCTCGATGATCAAACTAATCGAGTTAAAGTTATTATGAGCCCACTCCTTGAACTTTGGATGAAAAAGTTGACACTTATTAATGGATAGACTGTTTTATACGAAGTTACAACAAGCACATTTTCTAGTTACTTATCATAATAAAGTTCGGATATAACGCGCGCTGTCATTGGTTGAAAGAGCGTGCTCTATGAGAGTATAGAGCATAGAGCTGAGCTAAAGCTGTCACGCCATCTGATAATTGTACTATATTCGAGCTTTTCCGGGACTTCTTTTTAGCTTTTTTCCGATAATTGAAAGTGAAATTTCGGAACTGAAGCAAGCCGACAAGTAGCAACAGAAGAATCAAACAAAGGTTTGTAAACATACCTGGCGCTGTAATTTACGTTATTAAAACGTGAGCAGATACGAAAATCCTCAAAGGAAAAACAAAATAAACATTCCGAGTTTTAAAGATTCTCACGCTCAGTTAGATTGCAAGCTTACGTACGGTAATAAAAATCAAATACAGCTAACACTCGTATAGTATATAAAGTTCAGTGTTCAAAAACAAAACAGAACAAAACAGAAATGATGAAAAATTTAACCAAACTGGCATAATTGTTAAAATTCATACTAATCGTGACGGTGTCTGAGCGAATATGATCATGCTGAAGTTCATCGCGGCTCGCTCATCATGGTGATCTCTGGTCATCACAGTAAAGCAAGCCTCAGAAACTACATCGGCCACCCTTCGAGTGAAAAAATAAGAGCTTGCTCTGATATCCTTTCCGATACGTTGAGTGGAAAGTCACATCAGTCACTGCAGCGGAGTTTTGCGGCGCTGTCATCCCGAGCGATCTTCATGTTCCGGTGAATTCGGCTGTCGTTCACTCAAAAAACACTCGCCTTGAACAGTTTGTTTTCCACCTTGTCGTGTGAAAAAACTGGCGTGTTTTTATGAGCCATAATTCGGCTGAAGTTCACTGAAAATTTCACTTCAAGATTCTGTATTAGAGACTGAAAAAAACTTGAGGCAAAAGTGTTTAATTCGACTTGCCGAACTACTTTAGTTTGTAAACTATCGTAGAATGTGAACTTTGATGGTTTTTGAACTTTGATGGTTTGACACTTTTGACAGCTTTAGTCTTGTACAGCCAATCAGATTATTTGAACCATTCTAACAGGGATTCTGATTGGCTTATTGTAGCGTGCTTTATGAGAGTAAAGAGCATGCTGACGACACTGTTGTTCGCTTTGGAAATAAAGTTTGTTTTGAAAATTGAAAGTAATGCTTAGGTGATTTAAAGGATTCTTTATTATAAAACAAATAGAGAAGCCTTGACTGTGCTCTGTTCTGTTATAAAGCACGCAGGAAGCGGTTAGAGTACGAAAGAAGTGTAGGGAGAACTTACCACTTCTTGTTAATTGGTGAGAACCACCACTTCTTGTTAATTGGTGCAATCGTATGTGAATTCTAAATTTCTCTGAATCGCATTTATTTACTTACTTCTAGGGTTGTGTAGAAAGTTGTTTCATGTATTCCTATTATTTAATATAACCAGTAGTTATACCCAATATCAATGAAATGCTTAAGTATTACTGGAGAAATTTAAGTTTCTGAATTAGTATTTTCAAATGCTAATGTTGTTGTATAACAACCTCCGTAGACGATGATGATGGTGATGAAGACGACGACGATGACGATGACGGCGACGAAGATGAGGACGATGATGATGATGAAGATGATGAGGAGGATGATGACGATGACGACGATGACGACGACGATGACGACGACGATGACGATGACGATGACGACGATGACGATGACGACGATGACGACGATGACGACGATGACGATGACGATGACGATGACGATGGCGACGATGACGATGACGATGACGATGACGAGGACGATGACGACGATGACGATGACGACGATGACGATGACGACGATGACGATGACGACGATGATGGTGACGATGATGACGATGATGGTGACGAAGACGACGACGATGATGATGATGACGATGATGGGGAAGACAGTGGCGATGGTAGTGCTAATTTCAGCGATGATGCTGAAATCAATCGGGATCCAGCTGCTATGAACTTCGACTCGTTATCATCGAGTGCGCTTTCAGCTAAGGAAGGAAATGCTCAAGTTCTGATAGGCATTATTTCATTGTTTTTTATGAGCATCATTTGGTACAAACCTTTATTTTTTTAATTTCACATGAATAGAGCACAAAAGTGGACCTAGAAATGATTTTACAAAAACCTGAAAAATGAGTACATTTTTATTTGACACCTAGCTTGATAGCTTCTTAGCGTATGTATTCCTGTTCGGAAAATGGCATTTCATCAACCTAATGATTCTCACGAGCAGCTTACCGTAAAATGTACTTTAAAGTACTTATGACTTGTCAACAAAACACTAACTAATAAATTCGTTTAAGGATGTTTTAGGGACGTTTCTGTTTGTCATCTTTCAAATAAGGTTGGAAGTGTCATCTTTAAGGTTTTCCTTCTCCTTTTCCTTTTTTTTCTATCAACGGAATGCGTTTTAATTAATTTCTTGTTCATAGAACATTTTTTCCTCCTATGAAATTTAAGGAACTTCAGTCTTAAGCAATGGGAAGCAAACATATCTATATATTTGTTAGAGAATGCTCTGGAGCTAATTAAAACGACCGGAAACGACTTTCCGACAGTCCGATATTGACATTCGTAGGTGAGTGTAGAGACCCTCTACCCTATCCAACATCAGAATGATGTTGTTGAAAAAGAAGAATCTCGATAATATTAAGCGATGAAAATAGTTCTGGCTAAATCTCTATCATGGTTTCAGCAAAGGAATACAAAAAGCAAGAAGAAATCCTTTTAACTCCAAAAATGCCATGATAATAACATACCACATCTTTTACTCAAAATTCTACCGAGGAAAAGTGATGGTAAAATCATTCTTTACAGATTATAAAAGAAATTCATAGATGGTATACATGAAAATCAACCCCACATAACGAATTTGTTACATGTACACTACGAGTAATCAACACCTCGTCGTCTTACAATTGTTGCATTGATCATAGCGTTCAAATTTTTACATGTGTAACACGGGCAGTTAAGTGTCTTCTAATAAGCGAATTATGATTATTTTTTTCTGCTCGTTTGATACTTACTAGATGACATGCATGTTTTCTGTTTTTTAAATTTTCCCAGTGATGCTACATTCCGAATGGCTCTTCGCACGCATAATCTCAAACGAGAAAATACATCGATACAGAAGTCTAAGGCCTATTCTCAAGTATACCGGTAGTTACCTGTCCATGTCCAGAATAGTTGTTTTTCGTTCAACCAATTTACATTTAATACTAGGATGTTATCAGCTTTGAAATTCAATGAACTAGAATACCATGAAACTAATCTAGATTTGCCTGGTTCTTGAGTCAAGGCACTCAGTGCTATTGGATTAAAACCTCTAACACATGGCTTTGGGGCGGTCACGTTTACTGGGACTTTCTAGAAACTGAGGGCGACGCATCGCTTTGAGTTTAACGAAGTACCCTCTTGAATTAAAACTAACACCAAATGGACATCGAGAGCATTAATTTGATCTGTTAAGAGGCAGCAAAACAAGTGATACGAGACCAACGCAATGGTAATCACTTAAATCCTCATCAAGGTCAGGCGAATATAACCACTTATCAAAACTAAATACTTCACTCTAATTGAAGGTGGAAGTCACTAAAACCTGACCTAAGAAAATTTCAGTCAAATACAAACTTTAATTTGCAATGCTATTGACTACGCGATTAACTAAAACTCCAGCTATTAATGTTGTATCTTTCACCTCCGTTGTCTTATGGAAGGCAGTTGGTTGCACTTTTTGGGATTTGTTTCTAAGGAAACTGATACTATTAATCGTTACACTGAGTTAAACATGACGAGCAAGTTTCGTAAGCCAAAAAACTCTAATCCTATGAGTTATATTGCCATCTTCAGAAAAGAAGGAGGCCCATATTGACATATATTAAAATTTTTCCTCTGTTAGATCATGGTCGCTTTCTTTTTCGAAAACGCTGTCGTTAATTTTTACACAGCTTAACACAGTTAATATCAAATCTTTTGCTTCGAGACAAAATATTTTCCTGGAAACTGCAAAACAGTCGTAATTAACTTTAAATCCAACTTACGTCAGTAAAAGCTATAAATCATGAAGCAAAGAGTGGGAAAGAACGCATCTAAGCTACACCTTGGAAGTTTGAATAACCAGAATGGCACCTTCAAGTTTGGTTCTTCTTTGTTTTCTAACTCTACTGGCACCCCGTTGGGGAAGTTCTTTTCCGATGCCAGAAGGTAAGGAACATTTTGGTTTAACCTGTTTCCTTTTCATTTTAAACTGCTTCTCTGTCCCCGCCACGCGAGACACTGGTTGCTGTATATTCCTTTCCCGACTCCTTTCTCATTTTGTTGATGTAGAGGGTTTTTTTCTTTAAACTTGCAAGCTTCTTGTCCTGTCTTACTTCATTTAGTATTTTGTAGTATACAAGGTTCGATCTTTGCAGCTTCCCCTCGCCTCATATAGATCAACCATCGCTTTTCAGAAAAATGTTTTTAAATTTTCAGCCTACTTGCCGTTGTACACGTTTTATCGACTAAAAGAACACTTTGTAGATCATCAGTGACAAGTGATTTATCTAACAACCACCAACCAAATTAACATAGTTGCTTTGTATTGAGAACTGAGGGTATTTTGAAGGAGGCTTGAGCCGAAGGAATTTTTTTTTGCAATTTGTGGCTTCCATAAACAAACTTACATTTACCTTTTCCAAAAGCAAAATTTGGAGATGAAGAAGTAACACACTTTTACTAAGTTTTATTCATTTACTGACTTTAAAGCATTTTATGTCTTTTCATCACAGATGACAGCAGAGACCATGATGATGAAAGAGATGATGATGAAAGAGAAAAAGATGACCGTGACCAAGGTTTGAGGGATGATAAGTCTAATGATGAAGACTTGGATAGAAACAATGGCAAAGAGGATGATGACGAAGGAGACGACTATGAAATGAAAGGAGGCAATCGTGAGCATGGCTTTGACAAACGGAACGATGACCGAAACGAATACGATAATGAAAGGAATGATGACTACAGTGACCATCGCAGAAATGATAAAGATGATTACGAAAGAGGAAGAGATGATAGAAACGGTGACGACAATAATGATTTAAGAAGGCGAAATGATGAACAAGACGACAGCAGCAGGAGAAACGATGAGGGAGACTTCTCTGACCGAGAGGATGAAGGCCACTGGAATAGGAGAATAGGAGGAAAGAAAGGAAAAAAGGGTAAAAGCGAAGAAGATAAGGGCGAGAGTAGAAGCGACGCTATGAGAGGAAGTCAGCTTCGCTCTGGAGGCATGTCCCTGTCTACTTCCAACCTCATCTTATTTTCTGTGGCATTGATAATTCATCGTGCGCGCAGTTTCCTTTCAATGTAATGGACACAGACTGCTATGGATTGCAAAACGACGAATTTTGTTTAAAGACTTTTTCAAAGTAAAGTAAAGTAAAGTAAAGTAAAGTAGCTGACTGGATCACTTATCGAATATGCGTTGCGTTGTTTCTTTAATATCGAAGTTACTTCTAGAAATAAGGGTGCGATTTATGGAAAAAATGCAAGGTGAGATCAATGGTTATAAAATTTATTAATCACTTATGAGGCTATTTCAAGTGTGTGTCGTCACACGCCCAATGAATTCATGTCCAAATAATTGTATGGATTTTCCCGCCTTAGTTCGCCGTCTCGCAGAAAAAGTATTTTTCATCCGTAAAACTAAGCGATCCATGACTTTAAATGAATAAATGGTGATTTGGGTTTTTAAATAACCTGGTTTCCGTGACTACTTACAATATTTATACTCTTGATCCCTTGCTTGAAGTAATTGCCGAGTGAAACATATCGTTGCTGTTTTTGTTGTTTAACAGTTGTGTTGTTGTTGTTTTTTTTTTAAGAAACTTTTTTTTCATTTTGCGATAGTCAAGACTCACGGGACCTCTATTATACTTTTTTCGGAAACACAGTTCACAAAATTAGCTCCAAAACAAAGCAAAACAAAGCACATGAAACGAATTATAATGAGTTTGTCACTAGTTTTAAAATGAGTTCAAAATTTTTGCACCATGTAGTAGACACAACCATATTACATGAAGGGAAAGCTTGCATTTTTGCCTAAGACATCGCATAAGAAACTCAATTCGTTTTTTTTCTGGTTTGAAACTTTGATCGTCTTTTCATTAACCTTAAATAGGTGAATGAGACAAATGTCAGTTGTGGTGACGTCGCAGCCAAACATTTTGAAAAATGTCGAGAAAGTTTCATTACAAAAGATGAATAATTCCTTTTTTTCCAACAATTGAGCATTTCTCTTTAATTTAATCTATCCTAAATACAGTTTCGTCAGTTAACAGTTACGGGCCAAACCCAACCTGGGTACGAATCGCCTAAACTTGGGGACGGAACGTCCGTGGGCACGAAACTACTGGGACCCTTTTTACCTAACATCCTTCATTTAAAGTTTATGAAAACTTAAAGCCGTAGTTTTTTCGGTAAAAGTAGAATTTAAAATTCATGCTCGGCCAACGCTTTTCTACTTCTTTCTCATAAGGAATCATGAAAGAAATACTTAGTGCTAGTTATTATACGAGAGCGTCGGATTTCAACAATACTCTTTATTGACGCCGAGTTATCTTGAATTTGTTCGAGACAATTTGGAAAGCGTTCAATTGACTTATGTGATTTGATTTGATTTTGTAAGCTTCTATTGGTAGAAGCCCTTGCGTCCAATTACTTTCCTTGTTCGAGCACGGAGCCAGTACTGCGCCTGATCATTATTGGTGTTTTGATTCTTGAGCCGCGCTTTTTCTATTATCAATTTGATTGACGCACGGAGTCTTGCAATTCTTTTCTTATTTTGGTCGTCTAGTAATTTTCATCAACTGGTCATTTTGTTTTGTTTAGAGCCCCTGTTGCTTTGTTATATATTTTTATTTCACTTGAAATATTCTTATGTATTATGTCATTCATCTTAACCGTTTTTCTCGGCGTTTGTTCTAAACTTTGGTTTGAACTCCAATGTATCGTGTTTTTACTTTAGCTTTCAATGTCTGCAGGCCGATTCTTTCGCCTTTTCTCGATTTCGTATTTCAACTGCTTAGATATCTCGTTTTCATGTCCACATACGGCCCAGTAAACCAAGACCGGACGAGCAACAACAACAACAACAACAACAAAAACAACTTTATTTTTACCCTACATTAATATTACATGAAAAATGAGGAGAGTTTAGACTGCCCATAATAACCATTTAGGGCTAAAAAGATAGGACAGCCTTACTTAGGTCATTAATAAATTGTCATATTAAAGGGTCAGGTACCACACACGCGCAAACACACTACACAAAACACTTAAAAGATAAAGAGAAAAAAACTAGTAGGAAAAGAAAGACAACAAAATAAAGCTAAGTATGCCAGTTTTGAACAACGGAAAGCCAGAAAAACTATAGTTTTGGTAAATTTGCAATTAATTTTTACCAATAAGAATTGACATAAACATTTTCTTAAAACGTTGAAGAGAGAGAAGCTTTATGTCAACACTTATATAATTCCAAACTTTAGCGCCCTGTAGCACAAGTTATCCTTGAGGATAATCTAGTTTTATATTTATTTATGTTACTAACAGGATTAAAAAAAGGTCTCAAAGACTAAAGGTGAAAGTTTGTAATGGAACTTTCACATAAACACTGCAAATTGAAGGGTAATGATATCACACAGCTAGATAACATTCAAGTCTTTGGATAAAGGATTCCATTGTTCAATGAAACTGAAAAAGGTTTTTATTCTTTTCTTTCTTTGGTAATGTAAATAAAAGGTTGCAACGTTGACTGATATGCATTACCCCAAGCAAGTATACAATAATTTAAGAATGGCTCTACGAAGGTATAATTCAGGCTTAGCAACGTTTTTGTGTTTAGGAAATAACGAAGTTTAGAGAGAATACCTATCCTTCTATCGATTTTTTTAGCAGTATAGTTAACGTGGCTCTTCCAACTAATATTTGACTATAAAAAAAAACTCCAAGGTATCCAATGGAAGTTTCTTTATTTGATGATTGCTTATTTATAAATAGCATAATCTTTTTGGGAATTTGTTTTTGAAGTGGATGAAAAATAACAAAATTTCACTTCTCAATCTTTAAAGAAAGCTTATTTGTAGATAGCCAAATATGTACTTTTCCAAGTTCCCCATTAATTTTTATTTCAAGTATGTTAATGTCCTTATTCTTAAAAAACAAATTTGCATCATCAGCAAAAAGGTGTCATGAAATCCAATAGTTTTGAGCAATTGTGAAAGTCGTTTACATAAATGTGGAAAAGGAGTGGCCCTAGTACTGATCCTTGAGGCACCCCACACTGTTTGCAAATCAGAAATAACAGAACCCAGTGTTCTGTTGCTCAGATATGGGCAAACTGGTCAATAATACTTAGCGCTGCATGATCAGTTGAATGATGTGAGCGAAATCCAAGCTGCTTGTTGTAAATTTGGTGCCGTTAGTCTAAGAAGTCAACTAACCGACTGAACGTGAGTTTTCTAGCAACTCATTAAACATAGGTAAAGAGAAATAGGCCTATAATTACTTAAGTTTGTCTGAGGGCCTTTCTTAATTACTCTAGTCAACTTGAAATTATGTGGGATAATTCCAGTAAGAAAGATGTATTAAACATATAGGGACCTGCTAATCTTCAGAATCGAGATAGGAATGCTAGAAGGGCTCACAGCCTTACCAGTTTGAAGTTTGGCCATTTCTAATTGGATTCCATCTGCAGTAACTGGGGACAAAAACAAACTATCACATATAGAAAGTGGCATAAACTCACTGGCAGTTTTTGTAGCAGTGAGAATAGAGCTTGCAAGATTAATACCTATCTTGGTAAAATGATTGAATGCATCAGCTATTGATTTAGGATCAGTTATTTCACAGTTTTCCAATACTATATTGCTGACCGATTGATTCACCAGTAGGTTAATGTGAACAATTTGTTCAATTATTTGCAAGATTTATTTTCCATTATTTTCATGAATTGAAAAGAAATTTTTATAATAATTTCTCTTACTTGATTTGATTAGATGATTCAGTTTGTTCCTGTAAATTTTAAACTTTGCTTGGTTGTAGGTAGATTTTGTCTTTAAGATCTCTTAAATAGACTATTCCTTACTCTAATGCTTGATGGGTATATCAATAACCTCAGATATCTTATTGAAGAAACTATCAAACATACTGCTTGGTTCAAACCATCTCCAAAAAAATCATTCAAGTCTATTTAATGAAAGTCATTAATCAGGGCTTGCTTATCAAAATTTTAATTATCTCGTTTAAAAACCTTGATTTTCACTGGTAGAGAAGATATTCTACCTATAATAAGAAAATTTGGTAGATGACCAGATAGATCATAACATAAATTTCCACTTATGGAAAAGTGCTCAAGGGAATTAAAGAAAATATTGTCAATAAGAGTTGCTGAGGGATCTGTTATTCTAGTAGGCTGCAGAATTTGAGGTTGAAAATAAAATGTGCCTAAGGTATTTAGGAAATTTTCTGTACTGGGATTTGATTCAAACTTGAGAAAGTTGAAATCACCCAATAATACATAATATTTTTTTTCACAATGAATCATTTCAACAACCATGCTAATATAATTTAGGAAGTTATCTTAATTGCCATGTTGGTGTCTTTAAAAAACCCCACAAACGATATTGTTCCCTGTATCACTTTGAATTTCAATCCATGGTGATTCATATATCATTTTGGACTTGCGCTGAGAGATTTTGGTCAGTGGGCACATGGAGGTCAACATCTAAATTAGTAAGATGATATATAATGTTAATGAAAAAAGTTACACTTTTTAATCGAGGTAATTAGGTATAGCTGGATGGATAACTGGGCTATCAGAGGACGAGACTCTGCCAGGATACTTACCACAATTCTTACTAACTAAACAACACTTACCAAAAAATAATCGAATAAACCTAAACAGTTACAAAAACTCATACGAAAGCACCTAACACAATTCAAGAAACGACATTCGAGTTCGAAAAGTCCGGCAAATATTCAAAATCGAGTGCCCCATCGTGATCACTTAGGCCATATAACGTAGGACTTTCAATTTAAATTTTTTATACAAATCAAACATCTTGACCAACTAAATATTCCACTACAATTTCTAGGTTAGGGGAGAAAACTTTGAGATTAAGTTACCATTTCTAGAAAACTGACCGTCCAAAATATTTATTGTCGTTGTCTAAAAATATATATGGTTAATAAAAATGGTAGCGGTTTGTTTACAAAGTCTTTTGATAAATTTGGTACAATTTCCTGGCTACTGTTGACAACCGGTTGTGATAATGTGTTTGGGCTGATCAACGCAGGAAACCATATATTTGATTGGATGAACAAAAATTATGGTAATAAATTTTTAGAGAAAGCTATGGATAGCAAGGAGCTAGCTTTCATTGGTGTGATAAAAGGATGCATATATCTGTCGCACCTGAACTCATTTTCTGAGTTTAGAAACGAAAAGAAAGAAAAACACATAACAAACACATGAAGCTCTGGCTTAGTCATCCTCCACTTCGTCGTCCTATTCTTCTTCCTCTTCTTCCTCCTCTTCTTCTTCCTCCTCCTCCTCTTCCTCTTCTTCTTCCTCTTCTTCTTCTTCTTCTTCTTCTTCTTCTTCTTCTTCTTCTTCTTCACCTTCCCCTCCCTCTTCCACTTCAGGTGCTTCTGTCTCCTCTGGTCCTTCTGTTGGTTCTGGTGCTTCAGTCTCCTCTGGCCCCTCAGTCGCCCCTGGTGCTTCTGTCTCCTCTGGTCCTTCTGTTGGTTCTGGTGCTTCAGTCTCCTCTGGCCCCTCAGTCACTTCTGGTGCTTCAGTCTCCTCTGGCCCCTCAGTCGCCCCTGGTGCTTCTGTCTCCTCTGGTCCTTCTGTTGGTTCTGGTGCTTCAGTCTCCTCTGGCCCCTCAGTCGCTCCTGGTGCTTCGGTCTCCTCTGGCCCCTCAGTCACTTCTGGTGCTTCAGTCTCCTCTGGCCCCTCAGTGGCCCCTGGTACTTCCGTCTCCTCTGGCCCCTCAGTCACTCCTGGTGCTTCAGTCTCCTCTGGCCCCTCAGTCGCTCCTGGTGCTTCGGTCTCCTCTGGCCCCTCAGTCACTTCTGGTGCTTCTGTCTCCTCTGGCCCCTCAGTCGCTCCTGGTGCTTCTGTCTCCTCTGGTAAATCCGTTGTAGCGAGTGTAACTATTTATATTGATAAAGATACACACACGATTACTGTAACATTAAGGCACCGATAAAATCGCTTTACCTAAGCCAGAAAAAAAGCGATTTATAGGTTATGTTCAACCATATAACCGGCATAGGCACATATGATTTGAGGTTGCTTTCATAAGCATACATTAAAGCACGCGTAATTGAATTTGTATCAGTATTATTGTTCTTATTGACAAAATCTAGGAATGGAACATTCCCGAATTTGCAACTCTGGTCACCAACCAGCAACTAATAGACTATAAGAATGCAATTTACTCCTCGGCTCTATCGACCTATGGGACGCAATTTTCCAAAGTCGATAAAACTATAATGCTATTTAAGCAGCACGAACTATTTATTGAAGTTGAACGAATGAAGCTTCATAGTGAATTTCGAATTTTCGAATTTGCCTTTGAATAGCATGTTCCCGTGGAAACAATCAACATAAATGTATTCATCCATTTCGCAAGCATGTGAAAATGATCTTAGAGGTAATGCTGTCGCTGACCATTGCGCTCGATTTGGCAATGCTTAAAGGGAGGAGAAAGTTTTTTAAAGTCCCTCCACGCCCTTGAAATGTGCCAATTTACATCTTGTGATGCTCTTGATATTGTTGTTGTAAAAATACCTAAGCATTGTTCAATAAGTTTTCCTTTGATAACTTCTAAAAATTGCATAATTTATCCCTGTATTCTTCTATCTATCGGTAAAACAAAGATTTAATTTTTGACTAATATTGCGACACGAGATAAATATCTGAAATTACTTGATTGCGTATCTTAGGTTTTTCCATCGTAAATTGTTTTTAAATTTTTCCGAAAATGCTTCCGATCTCGTCATGCTGAAACGAGCTTGAAACGCGACCTTAATTGGTTTGCAAAGTTTTCTAGTGCTATACACTGTAAAGTAAAGGTAATCACATGCCTCAGTGACTTCAAGTTCAAGGGCCACCGCGATTACAATAGGTGTATGTGCGTCAGGTTTTAAAAAAGAAGATTTCGAGACTAGTCCTAATTAGATATTGGAAAGTAAATTCTCTTTTAAGAAAACCACGCATAAAGAGAACGACTCGCTGAGGGCGAGAAATACTTATAGGCAATTGAACAGACAGCGTTGCACATTATTGTAAAAACGAGGTACTCTTTACTCCCAAATCATGATCAAATTATCTATCCTTTACGTTTTCTTTTCCATATGAAATATTTGTGTGTTTTTTCCACCAATGAAGAAATAGAAGAGAAAAATAAATTCGCCAAATTGATGGGACCTTTCTTTCTTCGCCATAAATCTATTTCAGCTAAATAGTTACGGCAATTTTCTTAAACTGAGGTAACCTTCCGGTGTTGGTCAAAACCTACGGTCTCAAGAATAAATCAAGAAACCATTTTTCTTTTGGAATATGCCCAATTAAAACTCTTATATCTACTTAACTTCGTGAGAGGTCTCGAAAAATTCCTTAACAGATTTAGACATCTTCAATGTCGAGTTTGTAATTTTACACATGCATTTAGAAATTGAGCATTCATAAAGTCAAGTCTGTGATCTTGCAGAGTGTGTGCCAGTGTGAAAACATCTGAGCAACGGAATAAAGAATTTCCTGTAACTGCAATATGCTTATGATTGACACAGGCGAATTCAGCTAAATTTTTAACTGCCGTTAATTCAATGACAAATTCAGTTTAAAATTTTCATTGGAGCGAAGGGAAGCTAATGAGTCTAAATTACCTCCTTGTTGCGGCAATGGGAAACAGGTAACCTGTCCAAAAAGTATGGCAGCATAAAGAATAAAATGCGACCTTGAAATCATCTTTTCTCCAGCTGGATCTTGGCTTGAATAAGACTACTAGCTTTGAAGATTTCTTGTTCAGTAGCATTTTACATATATATATATATAAAATGCTGATGACGTTGAAGAGTGCTATTGAGGAGAAATCAATCAAAGTCAGTGTAAACTAATTCGTCAATTGTTCTCTACCTTTTTCAAAAAATTAAATTTGCTTTGTCATTGATCGATATAGTATTTGTTACACTCAATCATACACTTAACAAAAGTGTATCGCTGAAACAGAATCCATTGACTCCGTCGTAATATCGTGCTCTTTGCTAGTTATAATCTGCAGGCAAGTTATCATGTTTTGACTTCTAAACTGTATGCTTGGGATTATCGATTAGTTTCTTCCTTCTGGGATAACTTTTGGCTAAATCTATTGTGAATAAAAGGTAAATAGAACTCCGCGTATGAATGGGCTTTGGCAAATATCGTGACGGCATGTCAAGCATGCTTGTTAGTCGTTTATTGATCGTCGGTGCAAAATTTTTATCTGATATTGAAAATCGGAACATTTTTGTTGTTGTTGGTTTTTTTTTAATTTTAGGTCCTTACATATGTTGATGGGGACCTAGTTAACTAACCTACCGTTGCTGTATATTCGTGTGGGAGAGAAGTTACCGAAGTGTATCCCGGAACACTTCGGTAACTTCCCTCCTACTCGAATATACAGCGACGGTAGGATAGTTTGGGCCAAACAATGGGTTACCACCATTTGGTTGGTAGAGTTTGCCATAATGGCAAACTGTTTCAGAACATTTGAAACAACTGAATTGTTCTGGAAGATTCTAAATGGAAAACCTTCAATTGTCCTTAGGTTTGCTTGATTCCTTGCGTGAAGTAAATTGCCGTCTATTGATTTGAATTATTTCTGTTGACAGCGTAGCGATAGATGAAAAGATTAATCGAAGTCATTTACAATTAAAACTTTATATGTACGAGTCAATCTTCAAAAATGTTCTTCTACTACTTCTTTTTGTTTTTTCCCCTTCTTTGGTGTAGAGAGTAAGTTACATTATTTTTTTTGTCAAAGCATAGTTTCTAAAATATGTTTGGATCAAGAAAGGACGTGTTTAGCTGTGAAGCGATAATTTAAACTATACATTTTACCAAGAACTAGGCCTCTGAAAGGGTGAAAAACTCTTTAATTATGAGATTACGACTGGCCAATAACATACGAAATTAACAGCATAATAAATTACAAAAAGTTATAAATGGATACACATAATATTATACACCTGTTCTCAAAAACGTTGCAAATTTGAAAACATGTGTATTGATACCTTTTCTTTTCCCATAAAAAAGATATATACACTTTTAACACTTGTTTATTAAAATATATATTTTCAAAATTGCTACGTTTTGAAAATGGGTGCGTACAGTGCGTGAATATATATATATATGTGTGTGTGTGTGTGTGTGTGTGTGAATATATAGAGAATAATACATGGGCGCTGGTAGATATAGAATTTCTCTTCGAATGTTGAAC